GATGTGCACCATAATGTGTAACCCCGACCTATACTAGTTCAAACATGGGAATAAAAGACAAAGAAAGTTCTTGTCACAAAGACATTACTCGTAATTGTTAGATTCATGTCATATTTAGATTTTCATCCCTAGCTACAATCTCAGTCTTATGCATTATCTACCTATTTTATGTAGTGAAGTCATATGAACCTAACATAATTAATGGATGCAAAACTTGGTTTAAATTGAAGGCTACATTGTATTAGCAAAATCAAATATCATAACTGGGTATGTACAAAGTAAAGGACACAATTCATTGGAATTTGTAGCAAATAAATTAGTAGCATACCATGCATTTGTCTAGAAGATAAAGGTTGTTGTCATACTCAAGGACATAGTTGCATGTGTACCCTAGATCATTTGTGGAATTCACGCACTTGTTGCTGCTGCCACTGCATGTGTAATTAGCCATGTTATTATGTTTGGCATCTTCACATGGACTCACATTTCTTATAGCCCAATCAACCACCATAGGTACACTCTAAGGTGTGTGCTATTGAACGTGGTGTTGCTTATGTGTGAAGTGCTAAAGTTGAATTGTGTTTTCTCCATTAGCATTGCATAGCTGCACCGGTTGAACTCCCAGATTTTACTTGTGTTGACCGACTTGAAGAAATATATATAATAGTTGCGTGTCTTCCTTGGCATCGTAGTATGGGATCAACCGATATTGGAGTAGCATCCGTCCACTAAGTCTAGCAGACCGCGACACGATGCGACACCATAGCCTTGGAAGCCCGTTCCCATGTCATCATGTCGCTCACGAAGGCAAGGGCATTGCACCTGATGACCGTAAACTTGTTCTGGACGTCAGAGAGCTAGTAGGGAAAAGAAGCAGAAAGACTGATTTCGCCGCCATCCATGCACTACTAGAAAATACCTTATAAATAGATGCTTATCAGTAGCGAGGGGTATATGGGCCACACTGCTGGTAATTATTAGTAGCGAGGGGTATAAAACCCACGCTACTACTAAGTTGATAGTAGTAGCGAGGGTTGATAGTAGTAGCGAGGGGTATAAACCCCACACTGCTGCTAAGTGGTCTCCACCGTGCCCCTGGGACTGGCCATAGTAGTATCGAGGGGTATAAATCCCTCACTACCACTAAGTTGATAGTAGTAGCGAGGGGTTTACTACTAAGTTGATAGTAGTAGCGAGGGGTATAAACCCCTCGCTACTACTAAGTGGTCTCTACCGTACCCCCGGGATAGGCCATAGTAGTAGCGTGGGGAATAAACCCGGCGCCACTACTATCAACCCACCAACACATGTGTACACATAGCGCGCGGAGGCCCAAACCCGAACCCACACTCTCTTAATTCCCCTTCTCCCTCCCACCCGCGATGCCCTTCCTCACCCACCGCCACCACTGGCCTCGCACCTCGGCATCTCCCCAAATCCGGCGACCACCTCTCCCACCACGGCCCTCTCACCTTCGCCTCCTTCCTCCTCCTTCTTCGGTGCCAGAAGGAGAGGGAGATCCAGCAGAGCGACGCCAATGGCGATGGCCAGATCTGCCACGCAACCACTTGCACTTCCTCGCCGAGACATGGCCTTGTGAGGACATGAGGTCCCAGGAAAAGAAGCAGCATGTCACCGGGCATCGTCTAGGGTTTCGGGCATCGGCTCCAACTCCGGCGGCCACCGGTTAATACTCCTAGGTATGCCCCTTAATTTGTAATTTATGAGTAATCAAAAGGGTGCAAATCCACTTGTCAACCTCCGATCATCCGTCGAAAATCTGAGAAGGCACTGAGCAAGGTAGAAGGATATTTATTTAGGAAGGCGAGTGATAATGCTCGCCATATGGTGACTGTACATCCTCAGTTCCTCACTAGCTGAGCTGAATTACGATGGATTTTCGAGGTTGGATTCCACATGACATCTTTACATGGTTGTCTTATGTTGGAAATGGTTTCTGAACTCTGAACTCAGAACTGGTATCCACTTCTTTTATCTGCTTCTCTATTAGGAAGGGATAAAGGAAGCTGTTCTCTGAACTCGACAATTGTTCAGACTGTTATGTTTTCTGCTTAATTTCCCGAAGAGAGATGTTGGCACGCACCTAACCTAGGTGAAACAAGTCATCGGTCATCATGGGAAAGCAAGTATGGTGGAAATTATGTTTTGTCTTATGCTATTCTCTGCAGTACTTATGTTCCCCTTTTCGCTTTTCAGATGCTACGTACATAGTAGTAGAACAAAATATCACTGTGGGAAAAATTCCGTGCTGGAAATTCTGTCGATGGTAAGGATAAAAGGTTTCTGTGCTGAATTTTGGTTGGCGCAAATCCAGGACCGCAAGTCTTGTGTTGGAAGTCGTGTGTTTGGCTGCATCTTGTGGAGAGAATTCAAGGCCTGTAGAAGCAAGCAGCAGCATCTTGGCCACACAAACTGAAGAGAAGTTTCAGGCTCAAATGGGTTGAATCGGTAAAATTCTAGTACCGGTCGCTCTCTGTACGTCTGGCCATGTACGTGTTGATTGCCATGTACGACAACATTCCCAGCACAGGTGCGCCCTTTGTAATTTATGAATAACTAAAACTGTGCAAGTTATTAATCCTACTTATAGCAGCGCATTATCCTGGCTTGATCTTACTAGTAAAAGAAATCACATAGGACTGCAAACCTTTTTCGCCATCTCTGCCTGCTGGAAGTTCCGAGCTCTTTGTTGGGACGCTGGCACATCCCTTAAGCAGCAGCTGCTGGGCGCCTGTTTTCCTTCTTCAGTGTCGCCATCTCTTCCTCTATTTTCTGTCCTCATTTCTATGGAAAAATGACACACAGCATTTAGATCACTAAAGTAATGATCTAAACGCTCTTATACTATTTCTTTACAGAGGGAGTAGAAAGCAATACCCAATTCTCATCCGTCAACAACTCATGCACTGAATGGACTTGAGTTAACATTGCAGTACAGTTTTTCTTTGATGGTATCCCCTGTGATTTTTTGGGTAGTATTTCCTTGTTTATTTGATCATGTAAAACTGCTTCAGTATATATGTCTTAAGCTATCCTAAAAAATGTTTCTCTTTTCGCTTTTCAGCTGATACATAGACCAAACATTCAGATCAAGGACTCATGACTGGTGGCGCAATGCAATGCACCTACAAATTGCGGGGAAATTCCGTGCTTGAATTCTATCCACCAGCTGTTGTAGAAATAAAGGTTTTAGCGTTGAATTCTGTTTAATACAAATCCTGGACCATAAGTCTTGTTGGAAGTCGTGTGTCCGAGGGAATATGAGGCTATGGCTGCAACTTCTGGAACTCAAAGCCTGTGCAGCCAAGCAGCATCTTGACCACACAAACTAAAGAAAATACAAACTCAAGTGGGTTACCGGCGCTTTCTGTACGTCTACCAGCCTGCGTATGTGTCGGTTGCCGTGTAACATCCGACACGCCAAAATTTTCTTCTTCAGTGTCGCCATCTATCCTCTATTTTATCCCGTGGAAAAATGACAGATTAATTTTCTCCTGTGAAATTTTTCCTAGACAGTGATGCAAACTCTGTAGCTCGTGAGCTAGCAAAATTCAGTTTTTGTAATAAGAGTGACGATAGTTGGACTAATGAACCTCCGGGGTTTTTACTTGGCCAGCTAGTGAACAATGTAATTGTTCTTTAATTCAGTTAAGCTAGCCACGATGAAATTTGTGTGTTTAGCTGCATAAAGCGCTTTGTGTGTCGCTTCCTGTGGCTCATTAACTTCTTGCTTCCTCTCTTTCAACCTCTCTTTGCCAGTGTTTGTTTTGTACTAGTAAATATTCCACAATCAGGGCGTGCATGAGCTAATAATGTAAAAAATAAATAAACTATTCTCCCTTTTTTAACAAGGGAAAGGGCACATATTTCATTTTAGCTCAAGTACTTATCAAGTAGTACAACACAAAGTACAAAGTACATGAGCTAATAAAGTATCCAGCAAAGTTGGCATCTTGAGGAGCTACAAATACAAGGCAAATGTTGTTCCTACGAGCTGAACTGATGATGTAACGAGCTGTCTTGTTACTAAAACAAAAGATTTGCAATTTCAGGATCTTTGTACTAGACTGATGAACCAAGCAAACACAAGAATCTCGATATCTCATCCCTCAAATGGTCTCTTAATTTCTGCTATTTTCATACACCCACCGTATATACTATTGATAGGTAGACACCCTCAAAAAGGTAAGAAGAAAATGTTGTTGAGTGCTGGACGCCCAGAGCAAAGACATGATGTGACTACCTACCTGTAATTAGCACACAGTTATGTTGTAGGCCTTCAGTAGTTTCAGTTGTTCCACAACTTCAGGTCATTTTGGAATCTAAACATCCACAATTATGCTACTAGTAACTAGCACCATTCTTTTGAGAAGCAATCAAAGGCATCTTCCAATTGAGTCGATGTCAACAAAACAAGCGCGTCGCCTTTGTACATGTCCAGTGAAACTTGGACATAATATTATTACTACAATGAATCACATAGTGCCACGCGAACATAGCAGGCAGATATATATGTCTTCAAAATCACTTGCACAATAAAACAAGGGGTCCAGGACATTTGCTTAAATAAGATAAATAACACCAACCCGTCATATAGTGCCTCCACAGCAAAAACAGGGAATCTTGGGGCCTACTTATGCCGGTTTCGAAACGGCTACAGACAGTAGAAATAAAGTAACCAGAATTATGTACAGTTTCGAAACGGCTACAGACAGTAGAAATAAAGTAACCAGAATTATGTACGGTTGATAGTAATACACATGTGGTGCCTACTATTAAAGTTTCATCCACCAGATGCCGTCCAAAGATCATCATTAGAGTGTCATACAGAAAAATCATACAGTAAAGGTAGAAGGCAATGGAAAGTCCAGACAAGTGAATCTAGGTCGGATGATGCACAGCCTTGTCCAATGATGCACACTGAACAACTTAATGGCTTCAGCAGCAAATTCATACTAAATTTTTTGGAGACCAATTCATCAATAGCCGCCAAGACCAATTTTCTTCATAAGGGCATTTGAACACTCGCTGGAGTACTGAACTGACTTGGCAACATGCTGCGCAGCTTGCAGAGAGACCTCACCACAACACTCGATGACCAAAGACTCTAACTTCTGTGCACCTTCCAGTTCAGCCACTCCAACATCAGTAACGTTATGACACATCCGAAGTGTGAGATTACTCAAGCATGGGGTGTGCGCAATGAAGCGCATCCCGGCATCAGTTACCGCATGACACAATATAAGCTCGAGTGTCTCCAGATGAGGCGAGGATGAGAGGGCCTTCATCCCCTCGTCATCAAAGAAGTTGGCGTTGTTGAGCACAAGAACACGAATTGGGCAGGACTGAATGAGCACCAGAAAACCCTCTTGTGTGAATCCTATTTCTGATGGCCAGTCGGCATCACATCCTGTAAAGCTGAGGTCTATCATCTGAAGCATACAACAGTTGAGGGCTAGAGCGTAAAGGTTGTTATCAGTAAGCGACGTCCTGGTCTCACAATAGTTGATATCACTAGAGTAGCGCTGCAGGTTGAGCCAAAGTGATATTCTTTTAAGGTTGCTGCAGCTCCGAGATAATGCAATAATGTCATTATCATTTAGGGCACGAACATACTCAAGGCAAAGCTTCTCCAATGCTTTACACTTCCCTAGGAGAACTCGAAGTCCTGCTTCTGGCCAAGTTTCAATATGCGCCAACCTTAAATCCTTCAAACTCTCACAGCAGAAATCGTATACATCCATGCTGTGAGCATCGTACGAGGAGTCATAGACCACATTACCTGGATCAAGAAGATCATATTTTCCTCTTTTCCTCTCAAACTCAAACTTCTGGAGCTTCATCCATCCAGAACCAAACTTTAGGAAGTCATGATGATTGATTCCTTGGCAATTCTTCACTACAAGCTCTTCCAACGATCCATCCCTACCAAGGTATTCCAGCCACTCTACACTGTCAATTTTCTCGCAACCAATAAGGTGGAGAGCAGATAGACTTGTGCAACCAACTGCAACCGAGAAAAGCCCAACTGATGTTACTTTTGGTGTGGAGTTGAGCGTGAGAGACAGCAATGTCTTACAATAAGCTAAACAAGCAAGCCCAGAGTCATCGATATGTGAGCAGAAGCTTAATGTGAGATCAATCAGCGAGGAACAGTGAGATGAAAACACAAAAAGGCCTTTGTTGTCCAATTGCTTTCCATGTCCAGGTATCCAACCAGAGTAATCGATTTCCAATTTTCGCAGATTTGGGAAGCGGGCGCACAATGATGTCAGTTCTTTTGTAGCAATGCAAAGACCGGAACCAACACGGATAGCATCCCTTTGATTCCCCTCTATCTTGTAGAGCTGCTTTGACACAAGGGAAAGAGAATTGAGATCACTTGTCGTGGTGATCCTGTTGAGAATCTCTGTCAGCAGAGCCTCCGGTAGGTCTTCCATCGAACAATTCAGCTGTACCATTCATTACGATACATCAGAATATATCACTGACGGTAGACAATCATTACGAAGAATATGTTACTGACAAAGTTTGAGCATTTTCTGTATCCGTCCAAAACTTGTGTGTTCTTCACAAGCATGGAGATTTATCAAGTAGCTAGCACCTTATCTGTGTCTATATTGTTAGAAAGGAAAAAATAACGCTGCAGGCAGGCCAAATCATTAGATTAAACTAGCTACTGATGAACTTTGAGCACTTCTATTATATAATATCAGAAAAATGACGCTCCAGGTGACATCATTAAATAAAACTAGCTACCGCCATGATTACGTAACAATTGACGCAAACAATTCTGCAAGCAGATTTACTAGTAATTGCTGAATCTGAACATGAAAACCAGAGCATATATGCAAATTACTACTTGCAGCTCTCGGTTGGGCAAGAAAGAAAGTAGGGATATCAACCATTTTCCCGCCAGACGATGAGCTGAGTTCACAGGGCCAATCTATCTGTTCAACTAGAGAATACTAGAGTAGTATTTACTTTCTTTCTAGTACTAATCAACTAAGTTTATGGATGAGGATGATACTACCGGTTTGGTTCCCCTATCAAATCAATCAAGACCAAGAAATCGAATCAGGAAAGGGGAACCAACGCAAGGAGGGAGGAGTCTCTCAGGAGAGGAGAGTAGAAGCAAGAAACGGCGGTACCTTCCTTGAGAACGACCGTAGATTCGGTCGGAGGAGATAGAGAATAGACCGGAGCCGCCGCCGCTCGACCTCGCCGGAGAGGAGATGAGGGTGCAGTAAACCCTGGAGCTAGTCTCGCATTTCTAGTTGGTCTCTGTAATTTCCAGCGGAGCGGAGGAAGATGTGGGCTGCAGCGCCGTCTCTGGAATCTCTGCGGGCCAACGGGCGCTATTTTCGGCCTTCTACACCTTTTTTTTTGTTTATATATATGAAAAACACAGAAAGAAAATATAAAAGTAAGAAAACAATAAAGACAAATGTAAAAAATGTCCAGGAATTTTAAAAAGGTTCACGGTTGAAGTTTTTTGTTTGCGATTTCATAGCATTTTTCAATTTTTGTTTCACGAATTCAAAAAAAGTTCACGGTTTCAAAAATTGTTAGGAATTTCATAAATGCTCATGACTCCAGCAAATTTATTTGCTCTTTTTTTTAAAGATTGTTCACACATTGAAAGAATGTCCGTGCTTTAAAATTTTATTTTGAGTTTTCAAAAAATGTTTCCTGTACTTGAACATTTTTTAAAAAATTCAAAAAAGTTTGCACTTTTCCAAAATATACACTTTTTTTACAAAATGTCCCTCAATTTGTTTCAGAAATATCCTCTACAGTAACTGGTTCCGTTCGCTACGTACGTTGGCATGGTCTGATTCGCTACAGTGACTGCTTCCGGTTCGCTGTAGTGGCGCGGGTCGGTTTTGTGGTTTCTGTTGGTTCAATAAGGTACGCGTTGCCTTACAATCAACAACTCTAGTCAGGCCCGGTGGCTAGGAACCCACATTCACCGGTGGCTCGGTACCAGGTCGATTTTTTTTTTCACCCCACGGTATCCCTTGATATGATGGTGCCCAATGGGTAAATAATTTGGGCATAAGGATGATTGAGACATGTGGAGGTGAAGGTTTATCTCGATGGTCACTTCCTCATAAGGAACCTAAATCACCGTTGGAGAGGTGCAGATATCAACGAAGTTCCTCGAAACACCACTGAAGGCTCACATCCTTCTCCTTGAGCCTTCACCACATAGTTGGTTCCCAATTGTTAAACAGTCTAGCTTCTTCCTCCACTCCGACGATGGCAACTTTCACAATGAAACTGCATGGTGCCCCCGCATGTGTGTGTTTTTTGGTAAGTAAAGACAATCCCTACAGAGTAATGTTTGTAATGAGTTATACGTGTGCAAATTATAAGTGCCACACATGCCGCACGAAGAACTCTGGTTTTTTACAACTAAAGTTGATATCTGAAAAGAAAAAACAAACCCAAAAAAAAAACTGAAACTTGCCACCCTAAAAAAGGTAAGAACAAAATGTTTTTAGTGCTGTATGTCCAGAGCAAAGACATGATGTGACGGCTTTGTTATATGCCTTCAGTAGTCGCTCAAGTTTCAGTTGTTCCTTAACTTCAGATCATTATAGAATCTAAACATCCAAAACAAGACATTTCTGCAGTTCAATTTAAACTTCAAAAACGTCTTACATTAGTTTACACAAGGAGTAGCAACTAGCACTATTCTTCTGTGAAGCAATCAAAGACATACTCGGGTTGATTTGATACCAACAAAACAAGCATGCCGCCTTTGTACATGTCCATGGAAAATTGGACATAATATTATTACTACAACGATCCATACCAAAATTGCCATGCGACCAAAGGTCGTTATTAGACTGTCATACAGAAAAATTATACAGTACATGTCCATGCGACCAAAGGTAGAAGGCAATTGAAAGTACACACAAGTGAGTCTAGGTCGGATGATGCACACAACCTTGTCCAATGATGCACACTGAACAACTTAATGTCTTCAGCAGCAAATTTGTAGTGAAAATTTTGGAGACCACTTCATCAATAGCCGCCAAGACCAGCTCTCTTCCTAAGGGCATCTGAATAGTTGCTGGAGTAGTGAACTGACTTGGCGACACCCTGCGCAGCTTGCAGAGAGACCTCACAACAACACTCAATGACCAAAGACTCTATCTTATGTGCACGCCTCAGTTCAGCCACTCCAACATTAGTCACCTTATGACACAACCGAAGTGTGAGGTTACTCAAGCATGGGGTGTGCGCAATGAAGCGCATCCCGAAGTGTGAGACAGCCGCCGCTTCTTTGATTCGGAGGAGAGGAGAGGAGAGTGTAAACCCTAGCTACCTACTAGTCTCGCGAGAGCTGCTGGAGCGGCGCCTCGCTCACATGGCCCAGCCAGGAACCTTGTGCTGCGGGCTGACTGGCGCTATTTTCGGCCTTCTAGACATTTTTTGTTTATACTACATGATATGAATAACTCAGAAAAACAAATCTAAAGTTGCTCAAAAAAATCTAAAAGTAAGAAAACAATGTATAAAATGTATAAAATGTCCAGGAATTTAAAAAAAGGTTCGCAGTCGAATTTTCTGTTCATAACTTCATAACATTTTCAATTTTTGTTTCACATACTCAAAAAAATGTTCACGGCTTCAAAAATTGTTCGGAATTTCATAAATGTTCACAACTTCAACAAATTCGCTTGCGCATTTAAGAAAAATCACACATTCAAAGAATGTCCATGCTTAAAAAAGTTATTTCGATTTTCAAAAAATGTTTCTTGTTTCTTAACATTTCTTCACAATTTCAAAAATGCTGGCACTTTTTCAAAATATACACTTTTAAAAAATGTTTCTCAATATGTTTTAAAACTGACCGCTGCAGTAACTCATTCCGGTTCGCTACATTGGCATGGTCTGATTCGCTACAGTGATTGATTTCGGTTTGCTATAATGGCGCAGTTTGATCATGTGGCTCCGGTTGGTTCGATAAGATATGTGCTGCCTTACAATCAATAATGCTAGTCAGCTCCAGTGGCTAGGAACACACATTCACCAGCGGCTCGTTACCAGGTCAATTCCCCACCAGCGCGCTACGGTTTTTTTGTGAATTTTTTCATCCCACAGCAACACTTGATGTAATGCCACCCAATGGGTAGATAAGTTGGATAATCGAGATATGAGGAGATGAAGATTTATCTCGATGTTTACTTCCTGATATAAGAAACCTAATCACCATTGAAGAGGTGTTGGTAATCACAAAGTTCCTCGGGCTCACATTCTTCTCCTTGAGCCTCCACCACAAATTTGGTTCTCAATCATTCTGTCTCACTTCTTCCTCCAATCCGAAGACAGCAGGTTTCAACATGAAACTGCATGGTGCCTCCATGTGTGTGTTTTTGGTAAGTAAGAACAATCCTTATGGACTAGTGTTTGTATTGAATTATACTTTAAGGTTTATCCATAGGCAATGCTTGAATACCATATGTTGGATTCAAGGTTGAAAGGAGAGGAAAATAAAAGAAGATGGAGTCCTTGTGTGCGACTCAAAGGTTGTTTTGCTCTAGCTTGTGAGTTAAGTCATGAAGGATCAAGATCCCGAGAAGTTGATTACAAGAGAAGAGTTCAAGTGAAGAATCATTATGTATCTCAAAACATTGTGATATAATGTACGTACGCGTCTATGGGTGACGATGGTGTTGTACGCGGCCATGCCATCGTCGTAGCCTCTCTATGTGCCTACCGCTTATTGCCAAACTACTTCGCGTTGATGCCACACTGTATTGCTCCACGTAGCTTGCGGCCATGCCATCGTCGTAGCCTCTCTATGTGCCTACCGCTCATTGCCAAACTACTTCGCGTTGATGCCACACCGTATTGCTCCACGTAGCTTGCGGCCATGCCATCGTCGTAGCCTCTCTATGTGCCCACCGCTCCTTCCCAAACCACTTCTCCGCGTTGATGCCACACCGTATTGCTCCATGTAGCTTGCGGCCCCGCTACATCTCTATCGTCATCATCGCCATGCTCATGAACCATTTTTGCAGCATCCCGTTGATGAGCCGCTGTTGTCAACCATCGGGGCGATGTTGCGCGTACGCCATGTCGCCTTGGCTATTCAGGTTCGACATGTGTGTTGTACCAGTGTTCATGGATAGTCTTCGAGTGGATCACATGTGTGACATCTCTATCGTAGCATTATTGTTGTCCGATGGTCTCCGATGCCGCCTATGTTTTTTGGCTCACGTGTGTGGACACGACTACTTCCTATATCGAGTAATTTGCCTAATACATATATAAAATATAAAATTAACAAGTCAGATAGTCGATACAGCCCTAGTAGCGTGGCAAAGCGCGCGAGCGCTTCTAGTACCTTGTTAAAAGTGAAAGCACGTCACAAATATCCCGGGTGATACATCTTCCTTTTGCTCACCTGCTGTCAAATCGGGCAAGATTCATGTGCAGGAGGTATCCGCCCGACCAGCCTACCCATGTCAGCCTGTTAATATTTTGTTAGAAACACCGTGAATGGTTTTATACAATGAACAATTTCTGGATACACGGTAAATAGTGATCTAAATGGTTTTATAT